TTCGTATACTTAGAAAAGGTCCCAATTTAATGATAAATGATTGGGTAGCACTCAAGTCTCAGTCCCAGTTGATTGGCAGAATTCTTGAGCATGCCCAAAATGGGGGCTTTCTCTTACAATTTTTTTCTCTATCTTCTACCAATGTCGTCGTTCAAATGGGTCAAGGGGAAACCCGATGGGTCCAGGCTCAACATATTTTCAAGATAAGGGTAATCAGAAGTAAAGATTCTTGGGTAGCCTTCAAACCGGAGTGTCCTATCTCCGCACTTCCTTTTGACCCGACCAATTGGGTATGGAGTACAGCAACAAAAATTGGACGACATAATAGATCATTCAAAAGGGTTATTCACTCGCTTAAAGTCAAAACACCCTATCGTATGCTGCGCCCGAGAATCAATTTGAAAGACAAGGTTTCCACCAGGTGGATGAAATACCGTAATATAAGTAAGGAAGAGTTGAGGTCAGTTAGATGGTTTAAAACAGTCAAAGACAAACCAGCCAAATTGGCCTCCCTCCAATTGCAAATTGAACATAGGTGTCTCACAACCAATGATTGGCTCATTGACTGATCTTCTTTAGAATAGAAAGGACTAACATCAAGATGGTGTAAGCTTTGCAGATCAGCCTTCCCGAGTAGAACAATTCCTGAAACTATAGAGCACATCTTTATGCAATGTCCTGACTCTATCTGGATATGGAGGTGGTGGGACCGCATCTGGTCACAAATAGTCCCCCAGGTCCCTTGGCCATGGGGGTGGAAAGTGATCCTTCTAGAGACATGGATCCCTGATAAAGAATTAGTGGAGAATAATGAAGAATTTGTGGATAATCTATTTCGTATAGGGAGAAGAGCGGTAATGTGGGCTATTTGGATGATGAGGTGCACTTATGAATGGGAAGGGGCCAGATTAGATGGGTCGGACTTCACAGAGACTATCAAACAGCAAATTCAAACAGACATCTTAACAAAATGGACTCAAATAAAGGAAAAAGTTCAATTTCTCTCAGATAAATTAGAAATCCAAACACATTTTCGAAAATTCAGTCGTAATTGGCTGGGCGGAAACCAGGGAGGGAGAATCGGGAATGTCATATGGAATGGGGCAATGGATGATGATGATGYTGTAATTAAAAGAGACTACAAAGTGGCATTTGGTGATTGGACTACTATTGAGGCTTCAATACCTAAGCGTCCTCTAGCAGAATTCCCAGATCCTTTCCCTCCCCCTGCATCAGCCCTTGTTCCAATCTCTTGGTATGGATTATAGAGTAAAACACTGCTAATTACAATAGGTTAATCTAGCGTCCTGAAAGTAGGATGAAGAGGTAGTGTTTTCTCCATTTTCAGTTGAGAGGAAGATAATGGTAGTTTTCTCAAAGGAAAACGGAAGCTGAGCCCGGTTCTCAACAATTTTCGGTTCGGTCACTCCGGGTAGACTGTGAGGACCCCGGCCTCAATATTCATATTGGTAATATCAGCCTTGGGCATTGGGCCCCTCTTTAAAATAAAAATAAAAATAAATTGGTTACTACCAGATAGTCGGAATACCTAAGACTTCATCCAAGAGGTATGAACTTTATATGTGCGACAACTAAATCCAAGAATTATTGTTAGATAAACAGCATAGGTTGTAGCGATGTTGTAAATCCAAGAATTATTGTTAGATAAACAACATAGGCTGTAGGGATGTTGATGATTCTTATTTTTAACTTGCCCTAGCTTGGCAACCCCCTTCTTTTTCTGAGCACTCAAGTCTGTCTTTTTTTGGGAAGTATGACTTAAGAGATAGACAAAGCAGAGAATGGGACGCTGGACCCCGTTTCCAGCATGGTGTTCCAACCGGGTTGAATTGTGAGGTCCCCGACCTCTCAGCACTCTGTTTTTTGAAAATAAAGTTTCAACTTCTCCAAAAAAAAAAAAAAAAAAAAAAAAAAGAGCAATTTTCCATGGGAAATAGGAAAACCAAGTTTAGAGACAGATCCAGCAGCCTAATTCAGTTGGTAAGGGACACAAGTGGCATTCAAGAGGTCTTTGGTTCAGTCCCTCCTGGTCTCATGTACCTTCCTCGACAAGCTTGGTGCTTCCACCTGGGGCTATGTCCCACTAGCAAAGAAGATCGGATCGGATCTGGATATGTTTTATGCAGAGGTGCAAAAAAGCAATTCAATCTCGATTTCCTGCACCTCTCGACAAACACGTCCATATGCAGAGGTGCAGAAATGCAGTTCAATCTCGATTTCCTGCCCCTCTCGACAAACACGTCCAGATTCAGGCATTCGATCCGATCCTCTTTGCTACTGGGACCACGCCCCTAGAGATATGTCGTAGGTCCTCCGGAGTTGCATTGAGCAGAAACTGCTTATGTTCATAGGGGGAGGGGACCGGAGGGGAGGCACAGTGATTGGGCCGGTTGAAGAAACTCGGTCCTTATGCTATTGGCTGACCCCTGGCCGGTATCGCCCACTTGCTGCTGTTAGCAGGTATCGCAAGGGTCCCCGTAATACTATATAAGGACAATAAAAAAGCCTGAAAGGCCGTCCTGTCCAAATTTGACACGTAATTGAATTGGTAGGGAGAAGGGATAATTTGCGAAATACCCCAAAATGCCCCTAAAGGATGTGGGTAGAGCTAAATGCCCTTTGGGGCCTAAATCTTTGTGTTTTGCCCCTGTCAGGCCCGTATGCAAATTTGCAATCTGGACCATGACGTTGGGCCCTGGGCCTGCACCCTGTTTTACCCGGTTCCCCCCATACCTGTCTCTTATACACATCTAGATGTGTATAAGCATACTACTATGTATGGGACTCTTTCAGTACAGC